TCCCATCCCCTAATTCCCCAATAAAAATCTTTAAAAATAAATAAATAAATAAATAAAATGGACACAAGAAGAAACAAAAACTTGGTGGTCTTATATTTACTAAAGAAATAGAATCTATTATTTAAAAACCTTCACATACACACAAATACCTCAGTCTCAGAAACCTTCACCAGTAAATTCTTCCAAGCATTTAAGGAAGAAATAACACTTGTCTTAAAAACAACAAAATAAAGCCTACTCTTCCAGAGCATGGAAAAAGAAAGAACACTTCCCAGCTCTTTTTATAAGGCCTTGATACCAAAACCTGACAAAGATATTATAAGAAAGGAAAATTACAGCCCAGTATCTTTCATGAACGTAAAGACTCACAAAATGTATTAGCAAATCAAATCTAGTGATAAATAAAAATGACATCAAATCAGGAACAAGTGGGGTTCATTCCAGGGATGCAAGTGTGGTTTAGCATTCATTGCATTTCTTAAAAGGCAGAAAAATTATTTGACTGTTTTGATAATGCAGAGACTGCATTTGATGTAATACCTAATAGGAAAAGGGGCAAAAGATTTTAACAGAAACTTCACTGAAGAGGATATCCAGATGACCAATGATCACTTCCAACCCCTCAGCATTAGGTATGGATGTGTTTATTGTCTATCTTCCCCCACCACAAAGGCAATGCTTTGACCATCGGGATAACCACTGGGCCTCAGGACACTGGCTGTCAGATGGTAGGGGTTGCATTCCTATTTGACGAAGGATGCTACAGGTTGAGAAGCATACACCTTCACGCACCCATGATGCTCACTGACCATGCCCATATACACCTGTGTATGATGACACAATGGCTTGGGCTTGGGGTTACCCAGGCTGGAATGCCTACTCACCAGCTGCATGACACTGGCCATGTGACTCAACCTCCCTGAGCCTGGGTTTCCTCAGCTCTGAATGGGGGCAGTTCTTGCTAGAGAGCCACAGTGTAGAACAATCACACATTTCCAACATGCTTGTCCCCAAGAAGCCAGGAGGCTGCTGTCACACACCCATTCTGACATGCACATTCACACAAGCATGTGCTCACAGAAACGGTGCCCAGTGCCCAGGCACACAGGCCATTTTCTCCAGAGCCCCAGAGGGGAAGCAATGCAATAATTTCCTGGCCAGCTGGCCAGGAGTATAGAGAGAGCCACTAGGGTGACAGCTGGGAGGGAAGGAAAGGTTGGGGCCACACCCTAATCCTCTATGAGCCTTCCAGTAGGGTCCCCTGCTCTGACCCTGAGCCCTAACCCCAGGTCCTGAGATCTGCTCTGACTCGTGTCCAGTCCAAGCCACTAAAACAGTCAGTGGTCAGAACACCTGCCATCAAGGAAGCGCCTCCTATGGGCCTGGTGAGCTCCACACCGCCCCATGAGGTTAGTCCTGACATGAGCCCCCTTTCACATATGGGGAAACTGAGGCTCATAGGGTACAGCAAAGTGTCCAGAGTCCCTGCTGTAGTCTGCACTAAGAGTGCAGCCCACAGGCCTCTGGAAGGTTTGGAGCATCTGACAAGACTCATCCCTCAGGGCCGTCCCCATCCCACCCATGCAGCCCACTGCCAGCCCAGACTCCGATGCCCCAGAGGGCGAGTGACCTGGGCTCCCACCAGCCTCCTTTAGAACTACTCACTACGACTACTTGGCTTACAGGCTGAGCCTGAGGGCTGGACAGGCACTGGGGTCCAGGGCGAGATGCTGGGGGCTCTGGGAAGACCTCACCCTTCCAGTAGCCCTGGAGAGTTTCCACCTTTTCAGGGGCAGCAGAGAAGGGCAGTCCCAGCTGAGCCTACTCATTCTGACACCAGGCAGAGCCCTTCTGTGCAGGCCTCGTTTCCTCATGAATCAAGCAGAGCCATGAATCCCACTGGATTCAGGGAGGAGCAGGGAATCCTTCCTCCAAGGATCGGTGGGAGGGCAGGACTCTCTGAGTGGTCACAGCAGACATATGTCACAAAGCCTGAGAACCACCACTAACCCCGAAGTTCACAGGCTCCCTAGAAGACAAGCACTTACTCAGAGCCTCAGGATACCACGTCTGCACACAAACCTAACACACTGGGACATACCCTGGAAGATGACAGGCCAGAGGGGAAGAGACCTCATTGTCACCATGCATCTATTTTATGTCCATGACCCAGCATGGTGCTGGGTCCTCACTCACGTAAACCTTCAGAACCCTCATCTTGGGGCTCTGGCTGCAGCAGGAGGACCAGCCTGAAATGAGAACACCTGGTGCTGATAGGGGAGGAGATTGGACCTGGGAGGCCCTGCTGGGAGGGAAGGTGGTGGAGACCCTAGGAAAGAAGGGGAGTGGGCTGCGGGCGGTGGCCCCCGTCAAACCCAGCAGCAGCATGACCAGGCACAGCCCAGCTGGGGTCACATGGCCCCCTGTTCCACAGAAGCTGGGGCCAGCTCCAGGCTCTCGCCTACTCCCAGCTTCTTAAAACAAGAACAGGAAGCAGAGAGTGCTGTTTGACAAGAACACAAACACTGGGGACAAACCATATCTGTTCTCCTCACCAAGGGAGGGTCGCTTGGAGCTCCTTGGGCAGAGACCCAAACCCCAAACCCTCACATGCACAGTGAGGCACTCCATAAAAACCCCCAGACAAAGACTTAGGGAGACATGGCAGGCCCAGATCCCCTTGGAGATAAGTGGCAGCAGCCCCCACTCTTGGGGGCTGTGTCCCATCAGTGGTCTCTGGGGCCTGAAGCCCCTGGTCCTGTTTGCATCTTTGCAACTGTGGGTTCAGGTAGGCATGGCACCTCTGCATGTTCTCATGACCATGGTGGGGCTCACTTCCCTCCTGTCCCCTGGGAGCCCCCTGGGAGACCAAGCAGCTGGCCCCCCACTTGTCCCTGAGCTGCCACTCAACCTCTGTCATCTTAGAAGGAGCCCTGAGGGAGGGGACAGAAAGCCCTAAGAAGACCCCAGAGGACAAGGTCAGGAGGGGGTAGGACAAGGATAGACAGACAAAGGGAGGAAGGAAGGAATGAAAAGGTGAATGAATGAAACAGAAAAAGAAAGCATGCGGAAGGGGTGAAGCCACAATGAAGGGAGCAGGGAACACTATCTGCCCAGTGACGCCTTGGGCCAGGACTCAGCCACATTCCTCCTTGCTTTTGCACAGTCCTTTGGTTTACAAAGCATGCCTGATCCTGACAATGCCCCCTGAGGCAGATATTCTGGGAAGCAGACCCAAGCCAGCAGGGAGGGGGTGGGGAGACTGTGGGGGTGTCCTGCCATGTTCTGTCCCAGTGCGCAGCAGAAGCCTCCCATGGGGTGGGCTTCTTGGAAGGGGGTCAGGAACACCAGCTGGGGTCCCTCTCCACTACCCCCATTTACTCCAGCTCACCAATATAAAAAAAAATCACTCTGCTTACTACTGTCCCAGCTCCAAGCCCTGACACAAGGAGGGGAAACCCTGGGAAACATGGTGCCAGCAGTGGCAGGTTTCCCGGGTCCCAGGCCAGTGTGGGAAACTGGGCCTGGACAGCACTGAGTGCACCCCAGCAGGCCACTACTCACACATGGAGCCCCCAAATCCCCTCAACCATGTCCCCGGGGGAAGACCCATTCTTGGAGAATGAGCATGGCGGACTCTGAAGGGGGCAGCTCTGGTGATTGAGGTCAACCTGGGCCAGACCAGTGACACTGTGGCAGTGCCTTCTGTGGGCTTCCTGAGGCCTGGAACTAGGAATAGACTCACATACCATCTCTGCTCTGCCTACACTGTCATTGTCCCCAAACCGACATCTGTCCCATGCGCACGTCTGCCGCCTGCTCTATGCAAGGGCCCTGGGGCTGCTCCTTGCTGGAACCCAAACTCACTGGGTCCCCAGGTGCTGACATGCCCCCATATGCGCCTTCTCCATGCTCTTGCCACTGGTGACAAAGTCTCCAGGAAGGGCCAGCTGTTGAGGGCCACCCAGCTCCCACCCACCTCTTACTCACCGTCCAATGTCCGAGCAGACCTTGGAGTCGGCAGCAACTGCAGCATGGGCAAAGGCCTTGGGACCGCAGGGGGCATGGTGTCGAGAGAGGACCACAGCGGGCACGATGATGGCCAGGGCCAACCCCAGCCCCAGGAGCACCATACTGACTGTGGCCCCACGGCCCTGTGCCATGGCTCTACAGCTCCGGGGAGAGGGGAGGCAGGTAGGTAGACAAGCCAGTGGACAGACAGATGCACAGACAACTGTGTGGATGAATGGACAAGATGATTCACAGATAGACTCACAGATGATTGGATAGATGGACAAATAGATGAGGTCCAGAGGCAGACAGATTGACAGACAGCTGGAGAGAGGATAATAAGAGAAGGACAGCCAGATAGACAGTTGGACAGAGATGGAATTACCGATGGACAGACCGACAGGTTTACAAAGAACAGCGAGCAACCAGGCAGACAGGTGGATACATGCACAGACAGCTGACGGCGACCACCAAGCTGCTGCTTTTTCAAGCGCTTGCTACAGTGGCAGAGCTGGCCGCATGGCTAAGTTTCCAGTTCTCAACCCCTTCTCTTGCTCCTGGCAAAAGGCCAGGAAGAGCAGAGCATTTATAGGGAGTTTTTTTCTTTCAGAGAAGCAAGCAGCTACAGTTAGTTAACTCCTTCACTGCCATTCCCACTGCCTGCCCCCAGCAAACTTTGATGGTACGCACACCCCTCCTACCCGCCCGCTGGCACCAAGGGCTGCCCCAGGGCAAGTGCTTGAAGACTTGGCGCCTACTACTCTCAGGAAGCTGGGTTGCAGGGCTCCCAGGGCCCCCCAGGGCTGCTCCACTGTATCCAGCAAAGCCAGGAAGGCAGGGCTCAGACCTGCCCCGGCCCCTTTCCCTGAATCAGGCTCAGAGAAGCAAGGGGGACAGGATGGAATCCTGCCCTTTGCGCATGGCCCTGGCCAGCAGCAGCTCCTCTTAGCACTCTCAGAGCCAGAGGACACTGGGGGTGTCCAGACACAGAGCTGGGGCTGAAGGAGGCCAGAGACCGACGGGGGAGCCAAGGCCATGTTGCTTAGCACCCAGGTTCAAGTCAGCTCAGCCACAGCCTGCCTGGGAGATGAGGGTGGGGAGGGGGAACAGTAGGGTGGGGGTGGAGGTGGTGGTTTAGGCGGAATCTTGGCTTCTGGGTCTGCTTAAGGGGCAGGCCAACTCAAAAGCAACACGCGCACCAGGGACTACAAAATGTCTGTGTGGAGAGTGCAAACAGGGTGTGCGTCCAGCCCTTGGCACCCAGTGCCCACCGGACCATCTACCCCCTTGCTTCTCTGAGCCTGATTCAGGGAAGAGGGCTGGGCAGGTCTGAGCCCTGCTTTCCTGGCTTTGCTGGGAAATGTAGAGCAGCCCTGGGGGGCCCTGGGGGCCCTGCACTGTGGAAATGCCACCGTGGGCCTCTGGGGAATGAGGCTGCCCTTTCATCTGCATCGCGGCCCCGCCCTGACTCTGTCTGCTTCCCTGTGTCCATCCATGCTCTGGATTTTTCCTGTGCTGGTAGTGTCTCCTTTCCTAGGGACACTGACCTGGGCCCTGCCCTGCCCAGGCTTCAGGTTACCCAAATGGGAAGTGGCTGGGGGGAGTGGGGGCCCACAAAGGTACGCCATTGACCAAGCTCAGCAAGGGCACAGGGTGTAGGGGCTTCAGGCTGGACTCCCACTTACACCGTCCCCCACAGTCCCCATACTGTCTCCCCACTCCCTTCCCAGGTCTCTTTACACCTCCAGGTACAGCAGAGAAACAGGCACAGAGAGGAACTGTACCTGCACAGCCACACAGCCTGCCAGGCCCTCGGTGCAGAGCCCCGGGTCAGCCTCTGCTGGAGAGACCACTGGGGCAGTCTCTCCTGTTAGCCTGTTCCCACAGCTGCCTCATGGGGTGGGGAAGGCTGTGGGCGCCTCCTTACTCCCACCCCACCCACCCCCAACCCCGCAGTGACATTGCTCAACCAAGAACCAAAATGCATTCTTGGGCCAGGGCCAGCCCACCCCATTGTGAGGCAGGGACAGCAAGGATTGGTGGGGGAAGAGGTTCAGCAGGGTCGTGGAACATTCCGCCTCCTCTCTTCAGTGACTCTGGTCAGGCAGAGGTCAGGGTTATAGGGACCGCTGGAACAAAAGCCCGGGAAAGAAGCTGACATCATGCTGGCCTGGCCAGAGGCGCAAACCGAGAGGCCCAGGCAGGGAGGGGCTTGAATGTCTTTCCAGGTGGTGAGGGTCAGAAGATAATGGGAATGAAAAAAAGGGGAAACCAAGTCCCCTGGCCCCCAAGGGAGCTTCTGATGAGTCCAACGGGGCCTAGGGAACTGGGGCACACCTTGTGTGCAGGTCGAGGCCCAGGGAGCTTTATGGCCAGTCCCCACTTCCACTGGGAACAAGGTCCGCCCCTCAGGCTTCAGTCTTCTCCTTACAAATGAGGCCAGGCCCCTTCTTCTGGGGCCCAAATGAGGGCTAAGGCGTGACTTGCGCATTCCATCAGCCTAGCCTTCATACCATCGCCAGGGATTCCAGAGGCAGGGCTCAAGCTCTGCAGGCACAAAACCCATCTCCCTGCGGACACTTGCGCTCACTGAGCAGGGGGCGTTATCGGGCTGTGGGGCTGTGACCCGCTCTCTCCCTCTGGCCTCCACCAGCCTTTCCCTGTACCCCATTTCAGGTGCTACAACTGTGCTTACAGGACGAGTTAGCTGACCCTGAGGGAAGGCGAGGGACTGGTGCATGGTGGGGAAAGCAGGGTGCTGTGTCTCCCCCCGGACCCGCCCTCCCTGGGCTGCAGTTCCCCAACCCTGACCCTTGAGGATCTGGGGACCTCTTCCAGTTAGTTCTCTGTTCTCTGAAAATTGGACCTCCTTCTGGAGTTGATCACAGCTTGGGTTTCAGTCTGGGTTTGTGCTTGGAAAGCCCCCCAGGCATGGCTCTGACCAGCATGTTTTGCTCCAGCCTCTTGCACAATTCCACAATTCAAACCTCAGCTTCACCTCCATGTGTCCTCAGCAGGGTGATGGACACCCACCAGGCTGAGGAGGCTGCCCAGCTCCTAGCAACACAGGCCTGGTCTGAAAGGTAGGGCTATGGCACCCCCTGGTGGTTGATACTGTTCTAGTGATCAGGGTAAGGAAAGAGTGTTTGGCATGGGCTTGCCCTGTGCCCACCTCCACCCACCCAGCTCTTCACCCTTCCCTGCCAGATGGCTGTTTCACACACAGGATGCTGAGGCCCAGGAAGTTGGGAACCGGCCCGCAAGACTGCCCAGAGCCTGGCACTGCGGCCCCCATTTATTGCACTGCTTTGCCACTCACAGGGGAAGTATATTCCCCCAAAGTCCCACTCCTCTCTGGCATCTCATCCCTGGGCTGCTGGTCAGTCTTGCCCACCCTGAACACTCAGTAGCCAGCAGGCTCCCCGCCTTTCCTGGAGTCTGAGGCAGCAGCCCAGCCGCCAGCTGTGCGGACGATGGCCTGCACCACAGCGATGAAGGTAGGAGTGATCTGGGTGTGGTGGTGCCGGGTCTTCAGGGCTGTAATCACCGCCTGGGGGTGGGAGAGGAGAGGGAGACCTCAGCAGGGCCCGAGATGCCCTCTGAACCACACCTGTGTGGTCATGGGCTTCACACACCTAGGTGATGTCGTTTCTGTGGCCAGGAAAAACAAGATGGGGCAGCTGAGCCTGTTGGGTCTCATTGGAGCAGGTGGCCTGGCCCTCATTGCACAGGGGCTCAAGATAGCCCAGGAAGTGGGGATGAGGATCAGCTGCTCTTGGCAGAGGACACCAGCCAATATCCACTCCATGATGACTCAGGAGATCCAGGCCTTCATCCCAGGACACTCTGTGGCCCCCACACTGTGACTCAGTTTCCCCACCTCCTACCCCACCTGGTCCATGTGTCTCTCCAGCGTCGTGGTATTAGGCAGAAGCTGGTTATGTAGCCGGGGCTCCTCCACTGCCTGCTTCACATCATAGCCGAACCACAGGTTGTGGATGATGGCCTGGGGTGGGGGTGAGGATGGGGTTAGCGTGGCTCAGGGTCAGGGGCTGGGGAAACAGGTGGGTGGTACACACCAATGCGGTCGCCGTAGTGATCTGAGTGCCCCCGGAGGCACCCACCACCATGAGGACCTGTCCGTTGCGGTCCACGATGATCGCTGGGCACATGGATGAGACTGGCTGCTTCCCTGAGGTTGTTGGGCAGTAGAGGACAGAGATGCTGGTCAGCTGCCTGCCCAGGACACCAGCTCCCTCCCCACCCAAGCCCCCGCCCCACACCTGGCTTGATGAAGTTGGCTGGTGAGGGGGGCACCCCAAAGTCGTTGGTGATGTTGGGGGAACTGAAGTCATCCATCTCATCATTGAACAGGATCCCACTGACCGGCGATAGTACCTTGGAACCAAAGCTGCAGACCAGCTTGGTCAGACAGCTATGCCCTGCCCAGTCCTACCTGGCCCCACCCAGTCTACACCCACCCACCAAAGCTCCAACTTGTGCTCTGTGAGGTCCAGGGCAAGTGCTCTACCAAGGTGGGGCCTCGGTTTTCCACCATGAAAGGGGTTGATGGAATCCCACTTCTGGGACATGGGGGCAGCCCCTGGCCCACCCAGGCCACCCGGCATCCCCTACTAGAGGTTGATGGTGCTGGTAGCTGACACGGCGCTGCCATCCTCTGCAACCACAGACAGGTGGCTGGTGCCCCCATCATCCGGTATGTAGAAATCAGGCTCATAGTAGGAGGCCGGCTGAGTGGTGTCGTCGGAGATCTGGGCCCGGAGTTGGGCAGCAAAGAATTCGGAGCTCATGTTTCGGACCACCTGCCAAGACCCCAGAACTGGCCTGAGGAGGTGGGGAGGGGAGGGGCGCACAGACTTGTGCAAGCAGCTCTCAGAGAACCCCTGACCATGGCTCTGACCACAAGCCTCCTGCACCCTAAACATCAGGTGGCCTCTCTGACTCCCTTTCTCCAGCCTCTGTCTCTGCTGCAGTCCAGCAATTCTGAATGTCTGTCTATCTGTTCCCCAAGCCCCCACTCTCACTGCATTCATTCATTCATTCATGGAGCTTATACTGCGTGCCTGGAACTGAGGGATCAGCAAGGAACAGACACACCGGTACCCACCCTCATGGCAGGGAAGGCAAAGGCAGGCAGGGATGTGCTAGAACATGCCAGATAAGGGTAATGGAGAGGGACAGGATGGGACAGAGTGGTCAGGGAGGGCTTCTCAGAGGAGGTGACATCTGAAAAGAGCCCTGGATGGCAAATGCAAAGGCCCTGAGGGAGGCCTGTGAATGACAGACAGACAGTAAGTTGGGTTAGGGAGACAGGAGATTGAAGATGCCAGCAGGGGCCAATCCCATAGGTCCTCATAGGACCCATAAAGACTTTGGCTTTTGCTCTGAACTACCTGGGCTTGGGGCAGAGGAATGAGCACCCCATGGGTGTTTTCACAGGATCCCCCAGGAGGCTGTGTGGGGGAAAGGGTGGAACCCAATAAGGGGGCTATGACATCAACCGAGGA